ACGCGTTTGCTCGTGTATCATAAATTGGTGCTCGGAAACGTATGTGTTCTTGGAACGGTCAGACAGACCCGTTTCCACGGTCCTTCTTGATTGCCTACCTACGGCGATAGTCGAAAAGAAGACCGCTGCTTTCTCATGCGTGAACGCGCGCGTCAAAGGGACGAGTCGTCGTCTTCTATCTATCGTCATTGAATCCCTCGTTTCCTTTTGCATGAACGGCGATCGAGGAGATTCGACGTTGCTCGAGGAGGATCGAAATCGCGCGGATTGCGTTTTATAGAGACGTTCCACGATCGTTCCTTTTCGGATACCGGGATCGTAACTTCGTGGATGGACGTTAACGACTCGGAACATGAAGTTTTACGACGTCTGTCTTAAGCTACGGCTTATCTTATATGGAGAGTACGAAGAAGGGGAAAAAATAGATAAAAGTTGAACGATAATTTGAACGTAGAACCATTTGGACGAGAATTTAATTTTTTTAAAGAACGATCTTTTGAAAATTTCTCAGAGATTTTTTGGAAACGATGTTGCGTATCTATAAAAGGATGTGTTTAGAAATTTCGAAAGAAATTTGGTTAAACAAAGATTCGTAAACGCAATCATTTGTCAAATATACGTGAAATCAAATGCCAAATCTCTTGTTAAATTGTTTTTGAGCTGACTAAGCGACTCTAAATTCAAAATAACATTTTTATATTTTTATCTATTCATCTATCTTATTGCTACAAGCAATTTCTTCGCAATAATAATCCACAACTTTCAAATCTTCTCAACAAAGAGTTACCATAGCTCTTCGAAATCAACGAGAAAGTATTCAAGAGAAAAACTTGAAATCGATTTCTTCTTAAAACGTAAAAATTTTTTCTTCTTCTACCACTTGTATTCTCCGTTCCTCTGAAACGACGAAAGCTAAAAGATTCGCCCGATCAATAATCGAGTCGATTCCTTGTCAAATTTCTTTTTGTTCGTGCAAAAGCAACGTTCCAAAGTTCCAAAAACCCGCAAAATTCAAAACTTGCACATCTTCTCTGTCCTTTTCTATCCGTTTC